CAGGGTCCACCTTTATAAAAAAAACGAAAGAAAAACAAATACTGAGTTGAAAATTGGTTGGGGTTTGTGACTGGGAGCTTTTGAAGCACGTTTTGAATTCTTTCAAATTTTGAATTATAAATAATGTTTGACAGTCTACTTTTCGATCGATCTTGTTCAGAGTTTTCATCTGACATCACTATTCTTTATTTAATAATAATTCTTTTCCAAATATTTTAAAGAATTCTATCAGTAAAACAATTTTAAATAATGAAATGAAATTCATGATTTTTAGAAATTTAAGGACTAAGCTCACTGAAAGCGAATTTTTTTTGTTGCTTTTTCTTCCCCCCCCTTTTTTTTTGCTCGTGGAAAAATGTTCAGGCGAAAAAATTGTGTGTGAATGAGAACCACATTGGGAAAAAAAATTTGAACCCTCGAAGAACTGAAAATCTCATCAATGAGCCTTTTGTTTGCATGTCAGAAAATTGTATCCGGCAAGAAGGGCATATTAGGGAAAATTCTTACTGAATTTGGTATGATTGTTCTGCTTCAAATGCACCAATCAGATTCTCAAATTCGAATGGAGCATTATCACTGAGCACGATTGGCATATGTGATTGCACGTCAATGCGATTCGCACCTGCGTAAGCAATTAGTTTTGCTTGCAGTTTCTAAACATTCACATGCCTGTATGGGGCTATCACATAAAGTGTGAATGCTTCCTAAATGTATAATTCATTTGAATTTTTATTTTGATCATAAAGTCCCAATAAAATATGTAGTCAGTGCAGTGTTTTATTGCAGGGGTCTGTCTAGGTTTGTCTGAGAGGTACCTATTTTGGGAAAATTTTGACCCCATTTGTGAAAATAAGAAATTATATTAAAAAATCAACACAAAAATATGGATTTAGCATTTTTATGGGTAATAAAAATAAAATTTTAAGAAAAAGTATTTTGTGGAGCTACCAGTTTTTCCTAAAGTTGAATTTGTGAAGGTACTACTAAACGGTAGTAAATATGGCCTGGACAGACCCCTGTATTCTAAAAAAGGGACTAAAAACATTTTAATTGAGCATTTAGTCATTTGCTTATAATAAAAAGAGAAGGATGGAATATCTCAATTCTTCTCCTATCATTAAATCCAATTGAACTGTTTTCTCTGTTTTTGAGCAGTACATCAGAACATATTAGAGTGGGCTTCAAAAACTCTTTAAGTTGAGAATCTGACCTCTTTCATAAACAAAGTGGACAATTAATAGTAATAATTTTTTTTTGTTGCTAAAACAATGCGTGTTAATTATGAAAGGTAAAAGTTATCCACAGGGTCTAAAATGAACTTAAAATTTGGTAATTACCTGAAAAAAATGAAAGCATAAATAAAGTGTTATTTCATCATCTTAGAAGATGTTAATAAATAAGATAGATATGGTATATACATGATTTTCAGTAAAATCTCATACTCCCTTGCATTGAAATCTGATAGCTTTTATTTGCTCAATTTAAAAAAAAAAAGCTGTTTTTTTATTTAGTTACTGATTTATGTGAATGATCTAGTAAGGATGTTTTACAAGTATTTTACCAAAATAATGATAGATGGTTCATATATTATTCTTTAAAACACTATGATTTTGAAAATGTTCAATGTTTCTTAATTTTAATATAATTTTGACTTTTTTTTTTGAAAAGATATTTAAATTATTAGCAAGAAATTGAGTACTATTAACATGTACCTCATGAAATACTATGTGGTAAATTATTTTTGGGTAGTTGACTTCCATTTTTCGAGTAAAAATTTTAGAATAACAAATCACTTCTATTTCTAGAGCTGGCGTAGATCCTCTGCAAGGGATTGGATGTCTCTCTAACTTACACCCTGAGCTCAGAAATCAGGGTCCACCTTTATCAACAGCATATTTGCAGCAAGCTGGTAGGATGAATGGTGGAACATTCAATTCAGCACCTCCTCCTCTCCCACCTCGCCATGATAATACATCTATGAATAGGTACAGCAGATATTCTGGGTACCCTGGTATAAATAGGTATTCCGGAATGAACAGTTATTACAGTCCACTCGGTCCAAGCAGATACTCTTCTGGCCTTTATTCCGGCAGTATGTATTCTCCTTATTCCAATTACCGAATGCCGTATGGGCATTTCGGTGGCCCAAATGATGAATATAACAGTTTCTTGCAAATGGCCGAGGAAAGTACGAGACCGGCATTCGAGTCTATTGAATCTGTGGTGCATATTGTGAATTCTATTAGTATGATGCTTGAGTCAACTTATGGAGCAGTTCATAGTTCCTACAGTGCAATTCTTGGCGTAGTTGATCAGTTTTCAAGACTCAAAGATCATTTTACACAAGTGTTTTCTATTTTAGCCATGTTGAAGGGATTGCATTATCTTTGTTTGAAAGTCCTTTATCTTTTAGGTTTGTAGCTTTTGTATTATGGCTTTCTCTTATGGCTTAATTTTTTTAATTTATATTAAATTTTATTCATTGGCTAGCCTCTTTCATTGGCCATTGTAGAAATTATTATTATTATTTTTTTTTAATAAATTTAAATTTAATTTTTTCTTTATTTAAAGGGATTTGATTTTTATTCAAAGCTAAATGGTCAATAAAATATTGAATGTTTTAAAGCTATTAAATTTTGATTATGTTATTTTAGGAAGCATCATTTGTAAGTTTAAATTTATTTTAATTTCGGAATGATGCTTCCTAAAATAATATAATCAAAACATAATAAGTTTAATTTTAGTATATTATTTTCCTATTTAAAATCATTTTATTTGTATTTGTAGCAGAAGGAACAAATTCCGTTCTGTGTTTTTATGCCTAAATTATTTTCACATACTTCTTGTCTATAAAAATATATAAAATTTTTTTTCTTTATTCAGACATAATTTTAAAGTAAGTTCAATTTCAAGATAAAGGAAAAACACATCAATTTAAAATGCATCAAAGGAAAATATATCAATTTAAAATGTTTCTAATTTTGTTATTAGTGAATGGAAGCATGTAATGAAAATAATATATGTTAATTAGTTAATGATTAAAAACTGATGGTAATTATATATATTTTTTTGATTTTTCTCTTGAGCTTAAAAGTAATTTAAAAATTAATTTATCTATTAATATAACACTAAGTTTTCATGTGTAGTACTATAAATCCTAGAAGTGTTTTTTTAGAGCTTTTGGATTTACAGTTAATGCTAAAAATTAAATAAATCTATAATTTAGTTTAAATAAATGTATAGATTGCTAATTTGATCTGAATTTTAAAGAATCTCATTTAGTTTTAAAAGTTTTATTTCAGTTTATGAGTGTTTTTATGGTAATTTATCTAAAAAAAATTAAAATGTACTTGTTTTAGGATTGAGAAAAGGTAATCCAGCAGTGGAAGAGGCTTGGCAAACAGCACACAAAGCAGCCATGACAGGAAATTATCCTCCAAATTCCAAGGGTTCTATTTGGCCTTTTTTCATGTTTTTGTCTCTTGTTGTTGGAGCTCCATGGCTTATGTTTAAGCTACTGTCTAAAAATGCTGTTAAAAAAGCTTTTGGTTAGTATCTCTAAATGTTTTATCTGTGAAATGTAAAGTTATTTATATATTTACATTCTATTTAGTTGAATTGAAAATCTAGAATAATTTGATATTTATCTTTAAGTAAATTATAATCATTGTTGGATTCATATTTGACATGATTGAGAATGTATAATAGTATGTAATTTGTTTAAGCTTAGCCCACCCTCCTTTGGAAAATTATTAATTAAGCTAGAGGGTCTTGAAGTCCTATATTTGTAATTTAACTATTTATTACATTTTAGCTATTTATTCTGTTGTTGCAAGTGAAAACAGTATAGGCTTAGTGTGGTAGTTATGTTTAAGTCAGTTACCAATTCTTGATCAATTCCCTGATCATCTTTCTGCCTCTGTTTATCGTAAACATTTTGCCCTCTGCCCCTTCATGCCAATTCTAATCCCCCTAATTGTCAGGAAATTTCTGCATTTCATGCTTTCGTTTTCAGCGTACTAAACCTTTGTTATGACTCTTCTTTGAACTCTGAAATTAACTTTTCAGCTCTTTCTGAACTCACTAGACCCAAATGCCCCTTTTTCTCTTATCCTTATTGAAAACTTATTACTTTACCATTTATCATAACATTACTTATATCCTATACCATTTCGGTTTTAAAGTCGTTTTTAGGCCTGTTAATAAAATTCAATTTAAGTCTCTTAAAGATCCTATTAGTTTTCATAATCGCTGGGGCATTTACCACATTTTTTGTCAGTGCGACCTTGACTACCTACATTGGACTAATTAGATGTGCTTTAAAATTTAGGCTTAAAGAAGCGATAGGTATGCACGATATCAAGAACCCAAGAAATCTTCAATTTCTGCATAATGTTGGAATCTTGGTCACAAATTCACTTTCGACAATGCCGAAATTATTTTTTCCCTAGTAACAGCAGCTCATCTTGATGCCTTATAATCTTGTTTCATTCATATGAATGCTGATTCCCTAGTAAAGGACATTATTTATTCACCACCTCTCCATAGCTCATGGAGAGGCTTTTTATGCTGATTTGCCCCTCTCAGCCATTGTCATTTTTCTTGTTCAGTTATTCATCTTTTTTTCTCTCTATCAGCTACTGTGGTTTTTCTAATCACCTTTATTTTTCCATTTTTCGTTGACAACTTTAAATTTTTTATTTTAAATCATTTTTATTTCTTCTCATTCCCACTTGGCAAGTCTTGAAAATGGATGTCTATTTTGAAGCGCTTGAAATACATTCACTATTATTTATAATTTTTATATTTTTAAATTAAATAAAACTTTCAATCAAATAATATCTTATTGCTTCAGTCTCTTGGGATTATTTATTTAATATTCAGTTATTGTTTTCTATCAAAATTGCAATATATATTCTGGTTAATCCATGAAATTAATTATGTGCTACTGCTTGTAGATGTTTACTTTTTCTTGTTTTATAATATTTTATTGTGATTCATAAGGTAAGGTATTATAAGACAATGCGGCGCATAATTTAATTGATAAAACAGCATAGTATGAAGCAATTAAACAGCATAGTATGAAGTAATTAAGCATGTAAAATCTAGTATCAACTCTCTCGTATATTCATAACAATAAAGTTATCTTCTAGCTAACGTTAACCATATTTTTTTTTAAAGTATCAAATGGTGTTACAATTGTTAGTTAATGAAACAAAACATATTTTTACCTTTTACTGATGCAGTTCTCAGCATCTTCTCCACTCAAGTTTATATTCAGGGAGGTGACCAGTTGTAATGTTTTAGTCTAAATTCTTTCTATAGTTTCTTGTAAAATTCTTCAACCAGAAAATTCAGTTTCCACTTCTCAAATCACAACTTAATATGCCCCAGATGTATATCAGGGGAGAAAATTTATAGCCTTTGAGGTGTTTACATCATTTATATATATGTGGAATATGGTTTTGTATAAATATCCTTTAATGATTGGACGAATTTTTAAAAAAAAGTTGTTCTTTCAGCACAAATGAAAACAGAGATAAAATTTTTATTTCATAGTTTGTCATTATTTTACAATTTGTTTAACTTTTATGTAAATTAATAAATTAGAGTAAATAATGATATCAGTCACTCAAAAATAGAAAAATTTTACAATGACTGTACCAGTATAATATAGACTTTTACCATATGTCTAGTATGCTCTTTTAAACTTATAGTTTAAATGATGTCAATACAAAACAAACATATGTATTATTAGCCATACTTAAATTTAGGCTAAATGAATTTATTATTTAAATAAATTTATTATTTATATAAGTTAATGTTTAATAAAATAACAAATAATATAATTTAATATAATTAACAAATGAAAATTAAATAAAGTTGAAGAGTTATGTACACTGTTGCCAGGGTGTGTAACAGCAACCTCCCAAAGTTTTATTTGTGCTTAGCTTTCTCAGGCAAATTATCTGAAATTAATGTAAATCCTCTTGTTTCACATATTTTCCAAGTATCATATGTTGCCTCATAATTTTGATGCATTTTTTTTGCTATTGTAATGCTGTTTTTTTTGCTGCAAAAATATTTAATTTTTATAATTTTCTTATGTCAAGAAAAACTTTTTATGAAGTAATTGGTTTTTAGTGTACCAAATTGCAATCTTAGCAGGTTTAGGGACACCCTTATAATTTTCTATACACTTATGAAGATGATTGATTGGTCTAGCTGAGAAATCAAAAACTGATCACAATATTTCTAAATAAATATGCTTTTTTATTTTCTCAGGATTTAGATTTTCGTCCCTAAAAAATACATGGGCTAGTCATAATTTAACAATGTATCCTCTATTGTTTAATTAAGAAAGTAGTCTAAAGTTTGAGCCCTTAAATATTATTTTAGCACTTTGCAGTTTTTGCTATACTTACTGAATTAATTGTTCAAATTAAAAAAGAAAATTTTTTAACATTAAATTATAAAAATAATTTGCCAGAGTATAGTTTCATGTGAAAAATAATTTCTATAATAAACTGTCAAAGTTAATTAATTATTTTTTGTTATTTAATGTAATGGTGAAGAAGTTTTTGCTGCATTATGCATATAAAGAGTTACACTGTAGTAGTTTGAAATTGCTAAATCTAAAATTTAAAATTAATTCGCTTATTAGTTTTTGAGAAATAACACTCCACTTGCACCACTTTTTGTTAGAGAATAATAAGCTTCTTGAAAGTTTTTTCTTGCGAACTATACCAGTTTTTTATAATTTTCAGCAGTTTTGGCATTTAAAATAAAGTAGTTTATTATGTAACTTGTAAAATAAAATTTAATCCTTTAATATAACTTTTTTAAATTATGTTAAAGTGGGAAAAAGTTTTTATTGTTGTTGAACATTTTCATCTGACTCAAATTTATGAAAAGGGATAAGAATTTTAAGTATTTTAAAACATTGGAATTGTTCTCAAAATTAAGTTACTTGAAATTTTATTTTAATTTCAATATTTATATAACTAGTAAGGCACTTTTCAAACTGAGAAGTATTATCAATTTTGAAAATCTTTTGTTAGAATTTAAATTAGTGTGTATTTATTGCTTAAATTAAAATTTCTTTCTTAGTTAAACTAAACTAAACTCAGTGGCGCAACAGTCTATAGAGGGCCAAGGCCTACTGTGCCCATCTCAGTTTTCTTGACCTTGAACTCAGGGGTGCAAGAGCAGGTGTTCCGGTTGGGTGGTCAGCCGACCGCGGAACCACATGCTTAGTATTCCCTTTGTCGACTTACTAAAGGGATGAAAGGCTGAGTAACTCTTCTCCGGCCTGAAGATTGAACCAAGGACCTGTGACATGCTACCACTCAGCCACTGGGTGTTTTTTTCTTAGTTAGTTTTTCTTATAGCTTACAAAATTACTCTTGTTATTCTCATGCGTTTTTAAATAAAGTCTGAATATATAATTTAACATGGTTATTTCATAAAGCACATTAAAAATTTTATGATCTTTTAAAATTACTTATAAGTAAACATAGGTATATTTTTTTCGTTTTCAGTATATCACAGACTATTCTTGTGCCCCTTGTTTTTTTTTAGTTGAATTTAATTTCAAAGAACAATGCAGAAATAAATAAACAGAACTCAGAGACAACTTTTATTCTGATAATGTGATTTTTTTTATATATCATGATGCAGTTATAATTGTTTGAGGGTATAACCTTAAACATACTAAGTAATTTGTGCAGTCAAGTTGTAAGTTACAAAATCAGAAACGAAAAACAAGCTCCTTAAACAGGAATTTTGCACTCATCTTCCCGTAGTATTAAAAATTTCCGAATGATTTCTATATAGATACAATCTTCTTTTTTTTTGAGGATTTAGATCCTCAAACTTTTTTTTTAATTCTCTTGCATCCAAAACAGAGTATGATAAAAATTGATTGAAATATTTCTTTCCACAATATTCACAGATTTTACTTAATATTTGATTTAATTTGATTTTTGTTTGAAATTGATGTCTATCTTTTATTACTTAGTAGGAATATTAGTTTTTCATTATTGTGTGCATTTTTTATTATTTTTATTCACATATTATTTTGAAACATAATATTTAATGATAATTTCACTATTTGAAACAACATTTGATTTTCCTTATTGAAGCTCATGTTTTATGGTGTTTTTGTTGAAAAGTCTGGCTTATTTTCATATCTTACTGCAGTTTCCTGTTTTTAGTAATAAAAAAACTACATAAGTAGGTAACTATTTTCTACTGTGTAATTGTCTTCTTATTAGAGTTAAACATAATTAAATGGTGAAAATATTAAAATAAAATATGAATTTTTGCTTTCAGACCCCAAAATGTGGGTTAATGCAGAAGGGAAAAGATCTTTATCATATGCTGCATATGATTTTGTAGCTACTCAGCCAGGAGAACTGTCTTTTAAAGCTGGTGAAAAGTTAATATTATTCCCTCCAGATCTTGAAGGTATATTTTTTAAAAATAATTTTGCTATTATTCTAAGTTGTGTTAGTTTTCTGAAAAAAAAAAGCTTGTGCAAATAGAAAATGATATCACATTTGCTAGTGACTGAGAAAGCCTGTAAAATTTGTGACAAAGGCTACAGAAAAATAGTGTGACGTCGTTTATGGGCAGCCCCTATTTAATTCGAAAACAGAAGTTATTTATTAGAAATAGCTATAATTTCTTTTGTAGAAAAATTGTTTACTACCAGTACTGTAAAAATTTTCTGGTGTGTGTCTGGCACATTGTGTCAGTACTTTTTGCTGTGAAATATCGCGGAACAAAATATCAACTATAGACTATGTTTTTCAGTAAGATTTACTATAAAATCACTGTAATTTAAATAAATATTACTGTAAAAACTACGGTATAAATTTCTATAGTAAAAATGTATTTTATGGTACGGATGTTGCCCTCAGGTTGGCAGTACTTTTTTCTGTAATTTTATAACTAGTTTCTTAGAGTGAAGAAGCAATAATTATTGCGAAAGAAACGTCGGGGGTTGGTGAGGCATTTTGGGGCCCCCTAGTGTGTAATAGAGTGTTGCCTTAGTATTCATGTTATCATATTTATATAAATGTATTTTTGTTTTAGAAATGCGAACCGTGAGAAAAAACTGGATATTGGCTTGTAATGAGAAAAATGAAACCGGTTCAATACCAGTGAATTATTTGAGTTCTGTTCCTAGAGCAATACCTAATAATCTCCCTTCAAGACAACGAACTTTCATTTCTCAACAAGAAACACCACCTTTCTTTAATTCAGACTTAACCAATGAGGAGTCTAATATGAGTGTTATACAGCCAGATACAAGTATTGATGCTTCTAAATATAATAGTGACGAATCACAAAATGATGATTCTTCTAGCTCAGGCATCAGTTCAAGTTTAACACCTGTGCATTCTGATCTTGCTCAGTCTCAAAGTTCTAAAAGCTCTTTAAATGATTTATCAGGCAAATCTATTTTAGATCCTCCTTCAAGCTCTTTCAATGATACAAATATAACAGGTTTATCTACTGTAGATTCCTTAAAAGAACAACAAACTTCTGCTGTAAAAGATTAAGTTAAAAGAATTTTAATGTTTTTCTTTTTGATTGCTGCATGTAAATAAGTTATTTATAATTGCAGTTTCAATCATTTTAAAAAATATATAGTTCAAGTGTTTAGTATCAAAGATTGAAATTCCTTTTTTTTTATTATTATCTTAAAATAAAAGGAATTTTTTGGTTTGTTTGTATCTATCTTCTAAATGAATGCTGGTGGTATGTTTATTTAATTAACTTTTTTTAATTTTCATTCTTAATACAATTTAACTCTTTGCAATAATAATATTTTATTTAATATTTAAAAAAAGTAAGTATGTTAGTTTTAAAAGTTCAAAAATTATAATTTTAATTTTTTGAAATTTATAGTTTTGTTATAGTTTTACTTTAATTCCAATTCAATAATTACGAGGTTATTAGCAATTAAATTAAAATTTTAATATCATTTTATGATCTATTACTAAATGTTTAGTGTAGTCAGCTCTCGTCATATTGATAAAGTTAAGAGTATCTTTAGTAGAAATTTTAATATGTGTATATAAAAATAATTTATGATTTATAGTTAACAAGCATTGAAGTATGAGGAATATATTTATATTAGTTTTCAGTTGTTACTGTTATTTTTTTAAATTTGAATGTTAAATTTGTTTAAAATTATTTTATTGTGATAGATTGTAAAGTTGATTAAAAAATTATTATCAACTATTGTCGATAATTATGTAGTGATTTAGAACTATCAAATTTAAATGGAAATTAGTCAGAAGTTTCTGATTTTGATTTATTAGACAAGCCCAAACATGTTTGCCCAATTTAAATTGAACCACAAAAAAGGTAAAAATTATATATTTGTAATATTTCATAAATGTTCCTTTCATAATTTTTGTGCATTCAGTTACACAAACGTTATTCAATGGAATATAATTTAAATTGCAAACTCAGTTTCAAATGCAGGCATGAAAATCGAGTTAGCAATAAAGTAAAATATTGAACTAGATTTTGTCATATTACAGTGCCATACTTTTTTGGATCAAAACTTATACCTGATATTCATTAAAATTATTTACAAATAGTTTTACTTTTATAAAAAAATGTGTTACATAATAATTGTATTCATATCAGCGTCTATTGTTTTAAATTAATTATGGAAGTTAGTTTTTAATTATTATTTTAAAAACATGAAAAGTATATTCTTAAAAAAACATACTATACTAAAACAGTATACTTTTATTTCCTATTTTATCTCTTTTTGAGGTAAATAGGGTTGATAGTTAAATGATCACTAAAAAGAATTAGGTAAACCATAAAAAATGAACTTCTTAAAGAGATGCTTCAATTGAATTATTACTTTTGTTAATTGCAGTTATTTGGTTACCAAAACTGCTACTCTGTATAGTTCTTTTGCCAAAAATTGTTCCTCATTAACACTAACAAAAATTGAACACAACAATTCTTGTCATTAACAAAAGTTGAACATTACCACAGGCGGTGTTATACAACATTTTTTTCAGTCAGTAATTCTATCATTTTTTAAGGAGTGAAATTTAAGATAGATGAATGAATTTCAAAACATTTGTAAATGACTGTCATTTTACCACAAAGATTATCTTAAAACAAAACCTTTTAGCTGTAATTACTCGCAATGTTTGAGCAATTAGTTTCCTGAATTAATGAATGAGTCTTACTGATACAATGGTTGATTTTCGAAAGGGTTATCTTTCTTCATCAGCAGGAAAAAAATGTAACAAATATTTTAGGAATAATATTTTTACTCTTGGTAAACTTTTTGAAGTGTGAAAATCAAATCAAATACACGTCTATGTGCATATTATTAGCGAAATCTGACTACTAATATATATTATTTTATTTCAACGTTTATAGGATAATCATGTATATTATTTAACATCAAATTGTAATGTTATTGTGAACAAACTGAATTCTCCATTAATGCATGCACACTTTTTAAGCTATAAGATTATAAAGGTTGTATAATTCTGCCTCTTAGTAACACTAAGTATTGAGATATATAAATATAAAAATCAGATTGTTAGTAATTCCTTTTTCTATTAATGGTTTATCTATTCAGTAGCAAACGTTACGAATAAGTTACTGATGAGTAAAAAATATCTCTGAAAACATATAATTCCTGAACTTTTTTTTTTTAAAGAATATTCTTTGGAAATGTTTGTTTGCTTGCTAGGAAAATATGTTTGGGGAATCATTTTTGAAATTGTTCTAGTATTATTTTCATACATGATAGAATAGATGTATTTCAATAGTGTTTGTTGAAAAGTGACAAAATAATACCACTTTAGGGGATTTTTGAGACATTTTTGTGCTAAATTTTTTTTAACATTTGTCATTAATCTGAAATATAATTTTGATTTTTGCACTGCAGGGTTAAATGTTCGAATTTGTATTATATGACTGGAATTTTCTTTTATGTTACTGAGTTACCAGTGACTTTTTTTTATACTCATGTGTAATATCTTGTAATTATTGTAAATGAAACTTTTGTATGCCTCAATTGAACCCATTTAATATATTTATGTGTTCTGTATATCTAATAAAATTTTTTTTTGTAATAAATTTATGTATATTCTTATTTATAATTGTTTACATTATATACAAATCATTTAGTTATGCCAGGTCTTACAGCTATTTTTTTAGAATGGTTGAAATGTATGATTTTGTTATCATTTTTTTAAGATAGATTCCTTATGTAAAATTGTTAAACACTTGTTTTTTATTTTTATTTTAGAAAAAAAATGTCTTGATGGGTTGAAATGGAAGGTCATCTGGTATTTTAAGAAATATATGGTTTAAGAATAGTTATTCTGTATTAATTATATATACTACTAACGATATATGTTATTATATCTATCGTTAAATTACCATCTTGCCGTAAGAATTATTGGTTTTTCAAACAGAAAAATAGCTAAAATATTTTAAAAAATTTTTGAAAATCATCAATTTGGTGAGATGTTTCTTCCTAGATAAAAATTACCAATGTCAATCAATAATTTTAATTTTTTGCAAAATGTTTGAGCTCGAATTTTTGGACATTAAAAAATTAGATCAAAAAAGCTTTTTATTTTCACTAAACTATATTTTAAGTTATAATTTTTATAACCGTCGTTGAACAGCCGTCCCAATTTTTGGGTTTACGACTACTAATTTTCAAATACACTCTAACTTGTCCCTGCTNATCCAGAAGACAAGGGAACTCCATGATCAAGTAGCGGGAGAAATGTGCCCCTTTTTATTTATTGCAAAAGCACTTGACTTTACATCATTGGCCCCCATGCATCGAAGATGCATGAGATTGGAGCATATAAAACAAAAACTGAACCATTGAACAATACAAGAACAATATAATAACAAGAACAATAAATACTTGCAAAACGTGAACCACTTAAACATGAACGAGAATCAGTCGCTGGATACCAATTGCATCAACTCCCTAGCTCGCCAATATCGACTGAATAAATCTTCTTCATTTAATGAAGAACAACTGAGCAAATGATCTTTGTCCATCTCAAAGTTCTGGTTGCACAAAGTGCACATAGGACTGCCAAATATACCAATTCTGTATAGATGTTTAGCAAGGCAGTCATGTCCAGTCTCCAGACGGAACGCCGCCACTGCAGTGGATCTAGGGGAGTTTGGAATTTTATTAATTGAATACCTCCATTTCTTATTCTTGATTTCTTCTACTAAATTAGCATCATAGCTTTTCTTCACAATATTTTTTATAATTCTTTTAATTGATGAAAATGGTACTTTGGCATTACCTGCCTGCAAAATCTCTGTTCCCTTCTTTGCTAATGTATCAGCCCATTCGTTACCATTTATTCCTACATGAGATGGAAACCACTGCAGAACAACAGTCCTTCCCTCAGAAGCTAGGAGATTAATATTTCTTCTGCAGGAGTCATATGTGAATCCAATTACTTTTTGGATACCTGGTATAAATTATCTGTAGAGCAGCTGCTTCTAGTTCACAATCGAGTGCTAAGGATTTTGTCATCAAATTACATTCCTTTCTAATAGATCCCATGTGAAATGTGCCTTAGTGGAGGACTTTTTGATGGAACAAACTCGCATTTGCTTTATATGGTGAGGAAAACCTCCTACGGTTAGCCTGACGGCAAGGGGACTCTCTGTCTACCACTGAGGATATTTTAGTGAGCACAGTGATCAGTGTAAGCCGGATGCAGACTTCGTATCGACCAGCCATCGCTGGGATTCGAACCCTGTTCATCTCATTGGAAGGAGAACGCTCTATCCCTTGAGCTATCATGGCTCTGGCCTTATATATATATATATATATATATATATATATATCCGTTGTTGAACAGTCGACCCAATTTTTGGGACAAGGAAACTCCTGGATCAGTACCTCCAGAGGTATGATTTGTTATGGGAACATGGAGGACTGTGTGACTCGACAGATTTAACGTGCATCAGTCACCATTTACTACACGGGCAGTCTTCAGCAGGTTGGGATCGAACCCACGAACTCTTGGACACGGGGCTAGTGCCCTGCCATCCAGGCTATCCCGGTCCTGGTATTTATATTAGCATATAAAATCAACGTAATCTCTCTCGACGATGGCAAGTTTGAAGCGAGATGCATCGAACAGGCTTCCGTGCATACAATTTGCTCTAGCAGAAACCCATGTACCGGTTGTGGTTACAAGGTCTGCAGCTATCTTACTAGGAGGGGCATTTTGTGCTCTTCTTTGGCATTAGGGATACATATCGATCTTCTTGAGTTGCGGTGTTCCTACCACCGGTATGCTTTCCCTTAGCATCTCCATTTTCAACGGCATTTTTTACTAGCGAGATGACACTCCCATTACTGTGGCCATAGGGGTGACTCTTTAACATGCTTCCAATCGTCCAACTTCTCGTACATGATCGTAAGCACTCAAATGATGTTTTGCACCGCTCTGCAGGTTGCAGGGAAATGCAATTACGGAGCTGAAATTTGGCAATTTGCCAGGGACATATTTGTTTATGAATTTAACCTAGTTTTTTTCTTTCGAAACTTCAATTTGTCCGAAAGCCTTTATACTCCATTTGTTTCGCTTTGCATTACCTTTTGCTCTGCTGCACAAATCAATAAGACTTGGAAATTTTAAATTACGAAGGTGTTCGATTTAATGAAAAAAAAAGTTTTGATACCATTATGAGTTCAGAATTATCAACTGTTAAATTTGCAGTAAAAAAAAGTCGTGGTCGTCCACTGAAATGCAAGCTACAGAGTGGAAATTTGACAGGCTGATCAGATCATATTGAATTATAACTTTAACGAGAGTTTTTTGTTTGTTTCGAAATTCCTATTTGTTCGACAGTTATTGCAATTTTGAGCAGGCGATTTAAGTAATTGCAAATATTGAGCAAGTGATTTATTGCACTGGGCAAGTGAAGCGTTGGTTAGTATTGATCTTATCATGGAAATATAAAGACGCCTTTTCAGCTTCAATTCCAAGTTATATCTAATTATATATAAACAGGATATTTTAACTAATTTAAAATGAATAAGTTAAGTCTCAAAAATGAGTGAAATTTTTAAACTCAATTGAGTTGAACACACGTTTGAGTTAAATACTTGCTTTGCGTTAAATCGACCCATACAGTATAATTAAGTAGACGTCCAGATTTTGGTCTCATGATCCATTAGACGTCGTGGATCAAATACCGACGTCTAATAGACGTCGGTATTTATGGATAAACCACAATGGCTTAAGTATAGATGTCTTATAGATAACAAGGGTAGACGTAACGTGGATGAAGCACTTGGTGGACCTTAGTAGACGTCTACGAGACAACTATCAAAAAACGTCTTTTGGATTGTTTCTCGTCGTCGAAAGTTAGACGTAGGATTGAAACGAAATGAGTAGTTTAATGAATGAACATATTTAATAAATACTATTTACATCTATTTACAATTTATACATAATGCGCTTTGGTTAAATTTGACATTAAATATTAGAAATTCGATTGATTATTGATTTTCGCGCAAAAACAGAATAAAAATAACAAGAAGAGCAATTCCAAAATTAAGAATGAAAGTTGATGTTAGAAATTGAGACTTTTTTTTTCTTTCTAGGTTCATATAAAATATATTTAGTTTTTTTTGCAAGTACAAATGACTTTGTTTACGAAATTGTTTTTGTTGTTCTAAACGCTTTAATGTTTAGAGTAAGTTATTATACTACTTGAGTCCAAGTATGTTTTGAATTTAATGTGATACCTTTACGAAATACCTTTACGAATATGTAAATACCTTTACGAAAATGTAAGGTATTTTTGAGGTTGTTTTGAAGTATTTTTGAGGCTTTGAGGTTATTTTGAGGTATATTTGAGGGTGGTAAGAAAACAATCATAATTATACCTCATAAAGGTTGCAACTAAGGTGCACGAGGTTGTTTTACATCACTTCAGCTCATTTTGAGGTTGTTTTAAATTAACTTCATATGAGCCAGACTGATGAGGCGATTTATAAGGTATACCAGATTGTTTTTTTGATACTTGTAACAAAAGAGGTATTTATGAAGTATAAAAAATTTACCTTATTTCATCTAAAGAGAGTGATGAATTTTTTGAGGTGTATGAAGTCATTTTATTTATACCTCATCTTAATTTAAGGTTGTTTAAAGTTAACTTCATAACTAACAGACCGAGGAAATGATTTTTAAGGTATACAGGTCGTTTTTCTGTTGAAAAATTTGCTTTTGTTAAATTTATATATCTACTTTAGTACAATTCCCAAGATACTATTTTAGCATAATTTGTTTTTGGAAAAATGTTTTTTTTCTTTTTGTTAAACAGCAAATACTAAAAATTGAAATTTGTATAAGGATTCCAAAGTCGTGCCAATTTCAGAATTATCTTCTGATTTGAAAAATGCAATAAAAAATACGCAATTTTTGAACTTAATTTGGTAAATTAAAATAAGTAGTGAGAAGGTTAACATACTTTTTACAGAATCTGTGAATACCTATTTTTCCTATGTTTCGTAATAAGAATGATATTGCTCCAAGGATCCCACTCAATAATTTCTTTATTTCTAGAATTGAAATCTGTTTGGACGAAACATATTATTCATTGAAAGCTAAAACGAGAAAGATGTAACTATTATTTTTTATCTATGCTTATTACATTATTTTAATGGTAGCGGTATCAAGGTTAAGGATATGCGATGGAAGTCCCGTTTACTATTATACTAAAAATGCATTAAATCATATAGCTTGAATAATTTATTTTAAGCAAATTATTTAATAATTTTAAGCAAATGAGGGTGTAAAAAGAAACTCGATCAAAGTACGCCTAAGGTATATCCTAAAATATATGTTGAATAAATTTTGGAATCCATAAATAAAAAATATATTTTCAAACAACTCCAAGTAAGACGAAAATGCTAACTTGTTTTAAATAGCTGTGCTTGATCGAAATCAAAATTAAATAGCTATTTAATTTTGATTCCTGGTTCTAGGGGTATTCCATATTCACATTTGACTTTTGAAATTTCAATTGCAAACGGAATTTTTTTATGTCCTTAAAAACTGTTATTAAGGTTA